AAATATTCCATATTTTGAAATCAGTGTGTTTGCTCTTAGATTTGGTGCTGCTTAAGTGATGTTATCTGTATGTATGGTCTGCATGACTTCGGCCTCTGTTGTCATGCTGGAAGCTGAATGACAAAGTCAACAATTGCAGATTAGCACAGGCACAATGCCAGCATGTGGACAGCTAATGTTGAAGCAAGAGAAGCCTAATTTTTAGACAAAATATGGTGCTTTTTGTGTCAGTTCTGACCTTGCAACAGATAGTGAAAATAAACAAAATTGGCATCTGTTGCTCCTGCCTCACAACATGATACATACAATCCGGCACCCAATGTTAATGCAAGTCTTCAAAAGGGTATCTCATCATGCAGCTGAGCCTGTGAAGACCTGATGTGCCACAGAAAGTCACTTTGGCTGAATTACATCTCTCTGTCGCATCAGTAGCAGTCATGTAATTGATCAATATTCATGTTTAATCCCGAGGCCACTGCCAACTGTCGAGATTATTTTAAGAGCCAAATCAGCCACAGTTGATGGTTTATTCTTCAGTTCCAGTATCTAGATGTTGAAAAAAACTAGATCAGCAGAAAGACTGTTTTAGCTTTTGTCACACTTTCAGCTCATGTCCTTAATCCTACCACAGCTTTTATCTATTGTAAGTTCTTTGTGGTCTTAGAAAACATTTTCCTATAACCATTTACAAATTTAACAGCAAATGGAACAAAGGAGCACTATTCAAATAAAACTAATCCATTGTTATCACACTAAAATCATACATAATAACTTTGTGACATTCTAAGTTAAAAGTTATGCCTCTGGATAAGTATTAAATACATAATGGAGGAGATATGAAAATATTTGCATGTAGTAGAATAACGGAAACATGGACAGCAAAAAAAAGACATGTTTTACATGTGCAAAACAAAGAAAATAAAAAATCTTTATTGAACATACAAAATGTAGGTCTCTCTATCAGCTGGCCAGTTTCTATTGCTCTAATTAAAGATCTCTGGCTGATGGAGCAAGAATAAAGACTTCTTTTCACTAAGATACAAAATGGTTTTCTTCTGCATTTAATAAAAACCAGATATAACTGCATCTATGTTATACATATAGGTGAGGTTAAAGTTCTTGTGTGGTATCCCAAAATCATGGGTTCCCTCCATCAGTGAATGTTACCAACAAATAAGTTCAAGGGAATTGTAGCTCTCAGCTCATACCAACTTTGTACAAAACCACTATACCATTCCTCCACTTGATACGACTCACTTTTCAGAGAAGAAGCATGAATTACCATTGGAGTGTGTAACCTTAGCCTGAAGCAAAAATTTGATCAAATTCACTACTACTTATGTATTATTTTCATAAAGATGTTAACTGAAAAGAAATATTCTTATCCTCTTTATGTATGATATAATAAAATTTATGAGAATATTTTGGGATTTTATACAAATGTCAAAGTGACACAGTGCAAGTGCTGAGATTTGAAACATATTTAACAAAAGCAAGTATGTTGAGCCAGGAGGTGATAAGTTTTAAACAATTCTACCACTACAATGTGGGTCTTCTTTACCATAATGCATTTAAGCTGTCGTTTCTTTTTTTAAGGTTGGCAAGTTGATCATTAAATACACAATAAAGATACAATTAGGAGCATTTTTTTAATAAGGCTAATTTAGAAAAATATTATTCAGCAACAAGTTTGAAGATTCCTCTCTTTACGAACAAAAACTTTCAAACACTGTCACTTTATTTGACCTTTGGTTGGAATACTTCATTGGGTTTAGAAAGTGGTTTAGTTCATGATGTGTAGAATGATAGCAAAAGTCTTTGAACTTATGGCTGAAGTGAATAATAAATTTTGGCAACAAACCTCAACCATTTTTTTTGTCTCTCACAACAGTCACATAACGTTATGTATCGATCATGTACCAGCCACAAGGTCAATCTCCATTTTTTGTTTCACTTGTTCAAATAAAAAACAGAGAAGAGATCATGATTTTTTTTTTGTATGGCACATTTACTGATAAATTCAACCATTTCGGATTTCAAGAAGCTAAAAAAGTAAATTCTCTGTAGTCGTTAAAATTTTTAAGGTTAAACTGTCAACAGTACTACACGATGACATCATCAACTTCACTGTACATAATTGGAATTGGGCTATAATTATCAGCAATTGGTGATTTCTGATTGTGACATGATTGGTAAAACAGTGATATGTGTTTTTTATCTTTGTTTTTGGCTAATGCAGTATGCAAAGTTGGATTCAAAAGTGTTTTTGCTAACAAGTACAAACAATGTACATGCAATAAGGTAGATTTTCCAAACAACTTACTTTGCAATTTTTACTTGCCTGTTTTTGGAAAGTGTTAACAAAAAAGAACTTTTATGTACATCTTCCAAATGTGTGAGCCTTGATGCAGGATTGGTGTCATATATAAAAATTTCAAAAAGTAGCATTCGGATCAAAAATTGTAGTCATTCGTATAAAAGTTTAAATAATCACCTTTTATTTCAAATTTTATATATCAATTCCATTACACTGATATAAAAATTTTGAATATTGGACAAAGCGATGACATTCTTATCAATGAAAGTGCATTTACTTTGAATACACAGGCATTTACAGCGATGATGTCTATGGATTGTACATGACTGAGAAGTATTCATAAATTTAGGAAGGTCCATTCATGGTTTGTCATAGGTTCTGCTTGGTTAATAAATGCTTATATCAACTTATATGGAGTCAAACTTTTAATGGCTCTTTTGGCTAGGGGCCATGCAGGCTACCTAGCAGACATTTTTTATGAGCCACTGGCTCCCGAGCCCTGTAATGGTTAGAAAATGTCCTTTCAAAAATATTTGTGAGTTAAAAATTGTTGAAATAGTTAGAATTATTATTATTCCAATATTTTGAAGTTGATACGTAGGTGTGCACTTGACACATGAAAGGTCCTCACCAATTATGATCAGAGTAATGATATTTTTACCTCTGGAATTAAAATTAATTTCTACAATTACTGTTCTTTTCAGATTACTTTTGACAACACAGCTTTCTTGGACAGGAAAAGCAAGAAAATAAAGTAAGTTGTTATTCTATCTTAAATAATAAATGTTGGTATTGTAATGACTGAAACAGTTATAAATTTCCTCTTCCATAACTAGTTTACAATATATCTTTAGTTAACTGGATGTCGAAAGGTCATAAACATACACTAATCCTTTTACTTAAGTAAAGGTTACATACGCCAATGGTTAGAAATTCATATAACTTTTGGCCCTATGCCAGTGTTTTAATTCCTTTGGGATGACAAGCCCGTCACAAGGGGTAGAACAGACACTTGTAAAAACTGGTACGAGTCAGGGATTTTTCATCTCTATGAATGTTATATAGTCAGGGAATTATGTAGCATCAGATTCTGGTATAACAAACTTTAAATTTTTGTCTGAATTTGAATAATAAATCAGAATTCTTCTTGTTTTGGTTATGTGCAGAAATTTCAAATGAAGCCTCTTACCCCAGCAGTCAGTATGTTCACTTAGAAAAACAAATAGTGGCTGGTCAGTCAATAATAAACAACAATACGTACACAAACTGTGAAAAAGATTAGTTTTACTTGTTCATTTGTGTTTGTTTCTTTCCTTTACTGTACGAGTTCAAAATTATTTTCTACAGTGCATTTCCTGAATCTGCATTTGGCACATACAGAGTAGCCAACCCAACAACAATGAACCCTTCCTTTAAGTGATAACAGTAAATTTCAATATGGAAGCCTAGGAAATATTGAAAAAAAAAAATTGGCACATACAAAACTGAATCCTCTCACATAAAACAAAAAATATAATAGATATATACTTTTCATGTATACAGGTAATAGTTTGAGAAATGGGCAGACATTTTAAGAAAAACTAAACAATTAAAAAGACACAAAACAATTATTGCTGAATACCTTGTTTAAACAAGACATACTTGGGCAACAACAAATTTATGAATAATTCGATGACGAGGAACCCACTTTGAGACTAATAATGGCTGGAGACGGCTTAAATGGGTAATGAAGAAAAACTTTAATATAAGTTTAACATGACAGCAAATGTACAACGTTTCGACCTGATGATGACAAAACCTTGTCGAAACGTTGTACATTTGCTGTCATG